CACCTGCCTGTGTTTTTATGCCTGGAAGCATGAAATTGCAGCCCTGGAGCAATGTACTAAAGTCATGTACCAAAAGCAAAGGAGGTGGCAGCAGGATGGAGCCTGTTCAGGCTGCTTCAGGGCTTCCTGGACACAGGCAGAGGGATGCAGCAAGGCACTGGTGAGCCAAAATGCCTGGGTTCCCTTCCCGTCTCACCCACTGCCTTGCTGTGAGAATGGAGCTAAGTAATTTCACCTCCTTCCACCCTAGGGCTCTGACTCATGCTTACTGAGCAAACAGCAGCAGGGATGTGGGATGCCAGCACTCCCACCTCATCCTCCCTGCCCCAGCTGTTTGTTACTGCCCCTCTGCTGACAGTCACAGCCCCAGACCAGCCAAGGCAATAAAGACAGACACGTGCCTCTGAGCCACAGCTTCTCTCAATGGGCTTTTTTAAAAAAATCCCTCACCATCAGCAGTTCAGGTGGAAGCCTCCATCCGAGGTGCCATAGTACAAGACAGGTAGGAACAACCTCAAGTTAAGCAACCGGATTCTCCCAAACTTGCCCGCCAGGGTCGCCACTTCCCTGTTTTGGTGGCACCAGCAGCAGAACTGCTCCCTCACCACAGCTTGTGAGTACACAGTTATAAAACACTTGTAGTTGGGCCCTGAGGCTGCAGGCTCAACTCCTTTCAAAGGCCCTGTCCCTTCCACTGCCTGCTCTCAGCTGTCTTGGTGCAATACCCTCAGACCTTGCTGCCTGGCCAAGGGATGACAGAGAGGCAGAGGAGCTGGGATGAGGCTCTCCAGACTAAAGCATGTCCCATATCTCAAAGCCTGGGATGTTGCCTCTGGGATGGGGGGTCTTGCAAGACAGCATCAGTCCCCAGTAGTGGGAAGGGAACAGCTATGGGGACAGGATGAGGAACAAACCTCATCCATGAGGTTTCCTGGCAGATCCTGGTGCAGAAGAGACACATCTGAGCAAGCTGGGATGTCGCATGTTAGAAGAAAGGTGGAGAGGAGGCAGCAAATCTTAGCATGGATGTGAGGACTTTGGGTGAAGCTTTGAGAGAAAGAAGTCTCAAATACAGGGAGAATTAGGAGAGTTTCTTTGTGTAACTCTCACATGAGGCCCAGAAAGCTTCACCCCTGTGCTCCCTGGGCACCCTCTTCTCCCCAGCCCACTCCCATGTCAGCATCCTCAGCATCCCAGGCCCTTCTGACAACAGGCAGGAGGATGTGACCATTAGGAGGAGCTGGGAAGGAGGACTCACCAGGAAATCAGCCTCTCTTTATGACCTGAATGCTACTTATTGATGAATCAGGGAAGATGCAGATTTGTGACATCCTCCCCAGTTATTTATTAATTGTGTGGCACAGGATATATCAGTGATGCTTGGGTGCTTTTCTCATGCCAAGGATGCCAGAGGTTTTGGGGTGGGAAAACTCATTCTTTTCAAAGATGTTCATATAGGCCAGGCATCATGTGTCTGGGCAATGATCCGTCTTATTTTCAAATTCACCTCTGCCACCTCCCCTGGCTGACACTGTACCTCACCTGCCTCCCTTCGCGATGGGATGGGCAAGTCACCGCTTGCTTCTCACTGAGATGCCCTGGGGTACTGGGTACCTTCTTTCAGCATGCGATCTCAGTCTCCTATTCACACACTCCATTCAGGAGTTATAAGTGAATAAGAAGCAAATTCACCCTGGGCTTCCTCAGCACAGACACCGCTGTGCGGCCATCCAGGGGCTGAGAGCAGCTTGCTGGGGATTGCCTCTGATCTGTGCCAAGCTGCATTGTCTGTCCTAGAAAGACACCCAGCCTTGACTTAGTTGCATGTAGCGGAGGCTCCACCATGTCGTAATATACGCCGCTTCAGTGGTTAATTACCCTCTCATTTCAAAATGGATGTGGATTTGTGAGGCTTTTGTAAGCCCTGGCATCTTTAGGAGGTATTGCACAGCTCAGGTCTCCCAGGTATGCTCCTTTTCATAGAATTATCAAAATAAATGGCTAAGCTTCCCAAAGAGCCAATCCCCAGGGCAAATCTGAAGTGTGACAGCAAAGGCTGCTGTTTGATCCCTACTCTTCAGGGAGCACATGGACAGGGACACCTTGGATCTTGGTCTGACCCTGCCCTGTGATGCTGAACGTGGTGTCTCCTCTGCTTCAGCAGGAAGACCTGACCAAATAATGAGCTTTTATGTTTAAGAGAGCAACATATTTCTTCTTATTTCTTATTAACATATTTATTTCTTTTTTTTTTATGTGGAGGAAAAAACGTTGATTTGGGGGAAAAGTTTAACTGCTGCCAATTTTCTTGACATACTGAATGGGATTCAGGAGGAAAATGTTTGCAAAGCAGTCACCCAAAAGTATCCTATTCAGCAAATTCTTTAACTAAATAACAAAATAAACTAGCTAGAGGAAATGTGAATTATTTTTTATAATAAAATTATTTTTTATAATAAAACAGTAGTTGGGGAAAAGTTGAAAAGTGGCTTGAAAACAAGGCAGCATCAGCTTGCTGTGTGTTTTTTGGTGAAAACTGTTATTGGGTTTTAACCAGCTCTGTGAGGGAGGTTGTATGGATCAGTCCCTCCTCTGGGAAAAACAGGGTTAGGATAAGGGTGTGTGCGCGTGCGCAGGTAACCTGCCTAGGGGCACATGGATGATTTCAGACTGCATTTCTACCCGCTCTTCCAACCTTTCCAGCTCATGCTTCTCTGCCCTCCCTCTCTGCCCCTGCCCATTTGGGTGCACAGATATAAACCCTCCAGCCACTATGTTTCCGTTGGGGGACTGGAAGGTTTGCCTGGAGGATGCGCATGGCTCTTGTCTCATCCCAACGCTTTCCCTAGAGCCAGAGCAAGGGTATTTCCTGGCGGCTGCTCCCGGTGAGCTCACACCGTGGGCACTCCTTCAGAGCTAGAGTGGCAGGGCAGGTTACTGCTCCAGCTTTGCTAGAAACCTTGGAGCTCCCGACGCTTCGCCTCACCGCGTGGAAGCAGTGCTGGTCCGTCTCAAGGGAACACAGGTAAGCCAGGCTGGGATGAGAGGCAAGCAGCAAGCCAACAACCGCTGGGCACTCTGGTCACTGCTTCGATTTTTCTGTTCTCCTTTTCTTCTTCCGTCTCATGTTTCCTCCATCCCTTCACCATCTCTCGACATGTCTGTTCAGCTAGAAGATGGGATTTACCATCTTGGGTCTGATTCTTTTTTTACCCTTGCATCACTGTAAAAGCGTAATGCAGAGCACCAGGGATCAGCAGAGAGTCAATATGGTGTGAATGGATGAGCACATGGAAACCCAAGATCACGAAGAGGCAGACCTCAAACCAATCTGCCTGCCATCTATTTTATTTTTCTTCTGTAGCTGTGATCTCACCTGCTCTGGGGAACCAGTCAGCCTGGATTACATAGAGGGCATCATGAACTTGCAATTGTAAAAGAATGGTGGAGGTTTATCCACAAGTCAGTTTATCTGGTTGGAGCAGGAGGTTACAGAAGAGCTTGTTTGTATTAGTGTTACACTCCTGTGTTTTCTCCCTTTGAACTTCTGCTTGGGAAGAGAAGCAGAGGAAGCTGTGGTACCTTCACACCACTACACACCTACAGTAACTGTTGAACTTAGTGGTGCTGCTCAGCTGACACCAGTGTAAACAAGGACTTGACTTTCTCTGCAAGAACCTGATCAACTGATGAGTGGTTTTGAGATAAACTTCCCTCTCCTCCATTAGACTCAAAGCTGAAAGGATTTTCAAAGAAAAGAAAGCTCTGTTTTCCACCAGTGCCTCAGGAGCTCAGAGATGCTACTGAAGCACTTGGTGTCACCCTGGTACCTGCTCATTCTGCAGAGCTAGGGAAGCACAGCCGGATGAGTTAGTTCGACACTGCATCCAGGGACTTAGCTGCTCAGCTCCAGGGAATTTCTGTGGCTCTCGTGTACCAAATACCCAGCTGCTAGGGTTTGGATGATGCTTCCAAACACCTCTAAGGTTGGAACCCATCCATCAGCTTCTAAAATACCTCCACAGTCTCAAGGATCTGAAATAAAATATGCCAGATAGGAAACTTTTACTTTATCAGGACTTTTACTTTTTCAAATGAATAAGAGGGCTGAGATGCTCACACTGAAGATAGGAAAGTCTTTAGCATGGGGAAGAAAAACAGGCAAAAGGTTAGATTTTTTTTTTAGAATCCCACTTGTAACTGCAGCTTCTGCCACTACGAGAGGCCAGGCTTGGGAACCTGGCTGTGGAGAGCCCACTTGAGGTGTAAAGCTCTGTGAAAGACTAGGAAACCAGGATGGAGCTTGCATGGGAGTGCATTCAAAGTGAAATCACTGCCACTGAAGAAACACCTCCCAATGCCTTTGCTCTACCCCCCCAGGACTCTGGTAATACCTAGGGCCTATGCTGGTGCTCCAGGGCTGAGCTTGCATAAAGTGAGCTCCAGCCCTCAGGAAGATGCTGAGAAACAACTAAGAAGAACAGAGCCAATGAGCAATAAACCCTGTAGAGTTGTCCACTCCCAAAAGGTAGCTCACAGCCTACAAAGTACAGGGAAGTCCTCTTGGCAGAAAGATCTGAGTCATAAAGAAAGTGAAGAGAAGGGAGAAGACAGGGTGACAAGGACAAGGCTGAAATGGGGAAGCATCATGTGGCAGCGACGACCCCTGATGAGAGATGTTAATGCTGTGGATGGGGCTGTGGTGAGCATTCCCAGGCTCAGAGTTCAAGAACATTTCCTAGGGTGATTTGCCTCTCCTGCATTGTGGGGATAGATGAGGAAATATTCTGCAACGTGATGCGTGCTGGGAAGAGGGTGAGTCTTTCGTAGCAGGGTAAGGATGCTGTGCTTGAGCAGACTGGTGCAACGCAAGCGTGCATGTGTGCAAGAAGCAGGCAGGCAGAGTGTGCTTCTCCACCTTCCCTTTGGGTGTGCAGCACACTCCTTCCCCGTGTGCAAAACTAACGTGCTCCTCTCCCTTTTACAAAGGTGGCCCAACAATGCCGAGCATATTTTCCTACCAGAGCGCCGAAGTCGACTGGTGTGAAGGCAACTTTGAGCGCTCAACAGTCATTGCGGAGTACTACAACACCGTGAGTGCGGGCGCATCCGAAGGGCAGGCTGGGGCGCGAAGGCAGATGGCTCTGGGCACCCAGGAGCTGCTTTGGGGAGATGAGAAGGGACAACCTTGCTTTCTCTCCCCCTGCTCACTCCTTTGAAATTCCTGGTGTTGGAGGGTGCTGGTATGGGGAATACTTTCTGAGCTTCAGGTAAATCATGGGACTTTTATTGCTTACAACAGTCAGTTGCTCACAAAACGAGCTGGCGTCAGGGGGACTTCTGGCACGTGTGGGGCTGAGTTCCCAGTGAGAAAACTCTGGCAGTGCTCCTTAGCCCAGATTTGTGAGATCCTGTTATACCAGTCCTGCAGCTCTCCTGCCAACTGGGGTAAGTCCCACACAGGGCGCATATATTCCAGCTAAATGTACAGGAGTGGCAAAATGAGAGACAGCACTTGCATGAACCGTGTCAGGCAGGTTGGGAATCCGGAACTCAAGACGGAGGAAAGCTGATGCATGAGCCAGTTTCACCTCCTATGATCCTTTATAATTCAGGCTCCATCCAGCACCAGTCCCTTGAATGCAGCCTCCTGGCTTAAGTGTGGCTAGAAGCATCCATCTCTGTCTGCAGAGGACTCAGTAGATAACCGGTCTCTGCAAGCGTGTCCTTCTACCCCAGTGCAATTACAGGCTAGCAGGGGTGTGAGGCATGTGGATTTACAACCTTCCAAAGGCCTTGTTTACAACATTTAGCAATTACTGTCTAACACTGGAAGTTCTTGTTCTCATGGAAAAGTCTCTTCCTCTTTTTTCAAAGCATTTCCTGCCTTTAATAAATTGCCTATAATAACGATAATTCCCTCACCCGAGTCCCACAGCTCCCAGCCCTAATTGCCCAGCCAGGGTCTCAGAGGAGGGATGCTTGGGCTGTATATAGTCCCTTTTCTTTGAGACAGCTAACAAATAAAGGTCTGCCAGTCCAGACCAAATACTGCTTCCCTCTGGCATCTAACTGAATGTGTTGTGCTGTTGCCTGTTTACTGGCACTGCATCCTTGTCAGATGGGCTCAGAGCTGCAGAGCAAGGCATAACTAGCAAGGAGGTACAGAAATCACTTATACTCACATCAGCATTTCAAATACAGCTGGAGATGCCAAAGGACTCTGTGTTTTGGAGTGTCACTGGCAACACAGGGAGGGGTTGATTTACACAAACAGCAGGAAGTGTGAAAGTTATGAGAGTTTTTAATCAGAATGCATTCTGGGACATAAATTTGCCTCACCTCCTAGTTTAGTACATAGACAGCATTTTTCAAACATGTCTTTGGAGCTGAGACCCCATTTTCACAAAGATCCTGATTTATACCCAGACTGTCAAAGTGGCTCAGGACTCTTAACACACCAAGAAGATCTCAGGAGCTTTCCAAAAGCACTTATGTGTCTAACTTCTCTGCGGCACACTGCTAGACACCGGTTGGTGTGTGGCCAGATGCATAACTATCTTTCTTAGAACCCAAAGCCCTCTAATTCCCATAAAACATTAACTCTTAGCTGCCTAGTTCATTTTGTGGCACAGGTTTCTAAATTATGTAGCTAGTCCTGAAAATCTTACCCAGGTGCCTAGTTCTGGACTGAGGTCCCTACTAGCCACAGCCACATCTCATGTTTCCAGACTACACCACCTTCAAGATACTGGGCTTGTTGGGATGAATTTTCACGGGGTAGGACTCAGACACAGCTTTCCTCCAGGAGAGGAAATCTTCTCCAATGCATGTTTCTGCACAGATGCAAACTAGTGCAATACTGAGGAACACAGAGAGATTTGGGCAGAGCAAACCCTGCAGGATTTTTTCCAGTGATCAAACTAGCCCTTGTTCTTCTCCACATGTGAACTCAGGGCACCTCTTTCCCAGCAGAGGAGCTTTTTTTGGTTCCTGCACTGATCTCCTTCTTGCCAGTCTCCCTTTTACCAGACCATGGAGCTCAGCAGAGTGCCTGTGCAGGTGGAGGGTACCACTTCTGCAGTTTCTGTCTTAAGATGTGATTCCCATTTAAAGAAAGCAACAGAGATCTAAACCTGCCTTGACAGCTGCCTGCATCAGGGCTGGCATGTGATCTCCTGTCCAAACAAGGGGAGACAAAAGAGCAAACCCTCCTAAAAATTGCTGCTGTCTGAGCATCTGACAACAGCCCCAAAGGCTGCACCATGCTCAGGGCCAGACCTTGTAACCAAAAGAAGGCAGGAGCACCACTTACATGGGCAACACCCTTTCATCAGTCTGCACACACTGGCTGGCATTGCCTGGCTCTCACCCCTTGCAGCAGCACCAGGGGAGCCCTCTTCATGCTGCGGCTCTCTCGCACCTTGTGATGTGCCCTAAAGGGGGGACTATAGAAATTGGACCAGACTGAGATCCTTAGCTATCCCTGCTGGCTGGCAGCATGTTGCAGATCCAGCTGGGGCTCAGGGCACTATCATCTCAGATGTGATCCTAACAGCCTGGATCTCCTTCTCTTCTCTCCTCCATTTGTTTTTTCCCCATATTCAGATCGCTTCTTCCCTGCGGCAAACTTTATGGGCCTTATCTCACTGGCGTGCCCTGAGATAATTATATCAATATTGACTTCAGCGTCAGTTTGCCAGAGTTTTAGACTAGCTGGGAATCTAGCCAGCTCCTACCCAAGACTCCTGCACCACTAAATCAGCAGGGCTTCCTAATGGAGCATCCACTTCAATGTCTTCTTCCCAAAACTGCCCGGGGCTTAAGCAGGGTAGTTTTGTGCCAGCAGCAGCAAAGTGCTGCTGAGAATTCCTCTGTGCCAGCCACATTCTCACTCAATTCTGCTTGGGTTGGATGCTTTTTATTAGAAATAAGCACCAAGGGTATGAGCAAAGAATGTAAACAGTATCTTTAAGTACCTAATAATACTTGGTGGCTCATGATTGGATGCAATTCAGCAACAAAGTGGTAACTATTTATAGTGACTCAGTGACCCAGAAATTTATTGTCTTCTGACTGTTCATAGGAGAACCGATTGTGCTACATGAGGGTCATCAGTCAGGGACTTGTCTTTCTATCCTCATTTCTTTCCTGATATGACTGATCCAGGATGCCTGGTAATGACACCCAAATCCTCAGCAGTCTCTCTGGCAAAGCAGCAGGAGCTCTGACACTGCTGTATAGCCAGAGCTCGATTGGTGGAGATAAGCTCAACTGCAGGTGCAAATTACCTAGATACGCCCAGAGAAGCACTTTCAGTGTATCAGAGCCGTGGCGTGCACCCCAGCGCTCCGCACGGGCTCAGTAACCCCTCAGCCTCGCAGACGCATCGCTCTCTTGTCTGCCCAGAAAGTCTCATGCAGGAGTATGGCAGGTCCTTGCCTGGCACTCTGCAAACACCAGACAAACAGCTGTTTCCTGCCCCAAAGCAATGGCATGACATTGTGATGTCAGGACATGCAGCCTCATCTTCTGCTACGCAGGACTGGTTATTAGGAACTTGCTATACAGGTCTGGAGAGCCTCTGAGGTATTGACTTCTGTCTTTGGCCCTGTGGGCTCTTCTGTCAGCTAAACCTGGTTCACTGGCCTTTAAGTGAATGAATGCACTCCAATGAGTCTTGCAGAAATCTCCTTTCACTGCAGAAAATGCCTGTCTTGAGCAAGGACCGGCACATGCCTTGGCCGCTGTTGCACTGTTGCTGTGCTCACAGAGCCAGGCAGAGCTCTGCAAACCAGCACCTCCTGTCCCGATCTGTATGGGGGGCTTGTTCTCACCCTGTCATGGATGGAGATGCAAACAGATTCTCTGCAGGCCTCTCCCTCCATCTTAGGCTGCAAAGTTCTGAGTTGCAGAGGCCCTAGGGCCTTTCCCATGGTCCTGCTAATGCACCAGTATTAGAGCCATGTCACTGATCCCAGTCTTGCTTTTTTCTTAGTCAAAGAAGCAAATGCCAATACAGGTGGGCTTGGCTTAGGCACCTGGAGCAATAATTCACACTAGTTAGGAAGTGGGACATCACTGTGAGCTCACACAGTGCAAAGCCACAGAGCTGAGTCACTCTCACAGGTCAAATGACACCTCGGCTCCATTACCACTCTCTTATCTCGCTGGCATCCCAGGCAGAGGGAGCTGGTGCCTCCTGGCCAGTACAACCCAGTATAAGTAGAAGCTGTGCTGGGGGGACTCAACATGAGCAGAGACTCTGGAAAAACTTCCTAATGGGAGTACTGTGAACAAAACACTCCTAAGCCCATTTCAGATGGAGCTTGCCACATCCTAGAGGGAAGATATAAGACAGCACTTACAAATCAGGGCTTGGATCCAACAAGTGATGAAGACCCTGTGTCCTCCTCCACAGATGCAGTTTTGTAGCAGATCTCCCCTAAGCTCTGAGTTTGGCTGCTTTACAAGGAATCGCTCCATCTTTTTGACCCTATTGGCACAGTTCCCCTGATTATCCCTCCCCTCTGATATCTGATCTTGCACATCTCATACTGACTTAATGAAGCGATAACATTGCTATCATGTAATTAATAGGACTGTTGCAATGCCCACTGCAGCAGGGATTCAGACCTCTTCATACACAATCTCAAACTCCTGCATTTCCTCACTTTGACATGCATGCTGGCACTTGCATACTGCTGCCTTTTCTGCAAGCATTTTGTCTCTTCTTGCTATCCCTGAGTGTCTTCCAAAAGCCTCTTTAACCATTTAACAGGAAAAGAAGTGTTTGCAACACAGTTGTTACTTTAACACACAGTTTGGTTTCTCGATCATTTCCGAACAGTTTGACCTCGAGTGTGCAAGTGGGACCAGCACTTCTCTTTTCATAGCTGGAATGGGAACAGGCCTGGATTTGGCTCTAAGCACCTATAGAAAACCAATACACTTGGCCTGAGAATTGCTGTTAATGGGAGCATCAACTTGTTTCATGAAAGCCTTAGTGAAATTCAAGATTAATCTCCAGGTGTTAAAGGGAATAGAGACCTTACATTAAGCATGAATTGTGTTTCCCTCTGGAATATGAGAGGGTGTGTTTCACATATATGACAACATCTCTGTGATTTGCAGCCCTGTTACTGTAAACTTAGATCCCATGGGACATCACAAGCCAAGCGTAGATTTTGCAGTTTACCTGGTGCATGTAAGGGCTGCTGAGGAGTGAGACTCCAGCAGTGGAGGTCAGATTCCAGGCTTGGGGTCTGGGTCAGCATCTAACTGGAAGATGAAAGGAAAAGGATTGTCAGGGTGAGATAAAAGTCACCCTGGTGGCTTGCCAAATGGCATTTTAGCAGATGGCTCTGCCCTGCTCTTCCAAAGCCCCAAAGAGCTGTCTGGCAGGTAAAACGTGGCACCACAGTCCCAACCTTTCATGAGCAAGAAGGATTTTCCCTGGGGAGGCTGTGCTTCCCTGTGATATCCCTTTACTGAGTTTGCAAAATCAGGTGAAAAAGCCAGGGTAAGAACCCACAGAGGGTAAGGATTATTTCAAACTTCATTCCCCTGTAGCCGCAGGGTGGAGCGGGCTTGATCCAGCACACAGGTCCAGACTTTGGGCACTTGCTGCTCCTCCCCAGCTCCCACATTTTGCCCATCAGCATCTGCCATTCCACAAAGCACTGGCACCTTCAACCAGCCCAGGCAGCTGCAACAGGCTGAGCCCCAGTACCATGCCCTCCTCCCCAGACAAATCAAAGTCTGTCAATGCAGCAATTTTGCGGAGTTGGAAATCAGGGCAGAATATTTTCACTGCATTCATTTGCTATGTATGTTTAAAGGAGGTTTATGACTTCATGTAATTACTAGTGTCCAGAATACCTCCCTGCTCCAGGCCAGGTAGCTTTGCACATGACACTACAGGATGTCACCTCAATCCTGCCTGTTCCTACCTACCAACGTCCTGCTTGTCCTGCTCTCCACTGCACCCACTCCCAGTTAACAATGCTTTTCCTGACAGTGGCTTGCCATGGTGGCCTAGCTCCTCACACCCACCCAGCTCCTCGCAGGGGGCTGGCTGCTGGCTGAAAGGGGCAGAAGCCATCCAGGGAGTTTCTGGCAGGTCCGGGTTGATGGGAGAGGGAAATGGCTGCAAACAGAAGAGCTTTGGCAGCTTGCTTGAAGACACTGGGCAGCTGAAACTAAACCGTCACCCAAAAGGGGCACACCGGCTTACCCTGGGCTTGTTTGCCCCAGAGGTGCCTGCAGGGAGATCATAGATGTCTGCAGCCATTGCTGTCACAGCAATAGCTGTCCTTCCAGTTCCAGCCTCACTTCTCGAGAAACGCCTCTGCCCTGTCCCTGTGCCAAGAGTAATACCTGCTTCCATGAGATGCTTTCCACTAGAGATCCGTATCCTCTTCACACATGGAGATACTGAGGCACATGGTGGGATGGTACTTGCCCAAGATCATGCAATAAGCTGAATGCGCCTCTTGTTTTTCAGATCAGCAATGTAAGCTTCTTTGTCCTTTCTCCCGCCTTGCTCTACCTGAACCGGCAGTACCGTCAGCACCGTGCCTTGCCCATGTATGTCGTCTCCTGCCTGCTTTTCTGCGTAGGTGGGTGCCAAGGTTGTGAGAAGACCAGACAGGTTGCCAGAGTACCTGACTGTTCATTCATTATACCTTTGGAGGCTGGTTCTTAGTGGCCAAAGCACAGGGGCAAGCTGGGGTGGGAAACCGAACAGCCGCGTCTGTTTGAAGCCCCGCAGCTCATGGTTCCTGCTGGCTGTGGATGCACAGCTTCCAGCCCAGTAAATCCCCATGGTGCTGTGTGGACTGACTCACTCAGGCCTCCATTAACACCAAGGTCCATGCCCTGCTCTTCAGGAACAGTGTGTCTTTAGGAATGGCTCCCGAGAACTTCCCAGGCCAGACAGGCTTGTGCAAGGATGCAACTTTGCTGACACAAACTGTCCTTGCTCCTCGCAGGTATCTTTTCCATGTACTTTCACATGACCCTGAGCTACGTAGGACAACTCTTGGATGAGCTCTCTATCCTCTGGACACTGGCTGTGGCATATTCCTTTTGGTACCCGAGGGTTTACTTCCCCAGGTGCATCAAGACCAGGTATGACTCAGAGGGACATAGGGTTGCAGGCTCTGAGGGGAGGGATGGGACATTGACATTGATGCGTGTGACCCACAGATCCCTCCAGCCCCCAGCCAGCTCCCCTGCAAGGGGTCAGCTTTGAGGTTACTGCGGTTTGCTTCAGGACCAGACCTTCCATCACTCAGTGGTGGATGTGCTGAGAGAGGAAGAGTAAGAAACCCTCCCACAGGGAAGGGCTGTGCTGTTCCTTGCCTCGCAAAGCTGCAGGGGAAACTTTGCGTGGAGAATTTCAAAATTAATTGGGAAATTAAATGTTCCTGAGCACTGACATTCAATTACCCATGCTGTCAAACTGTTACAGCGTCCCCTGCCATCCACAGAGAGCTTTCCCACAGAGGTGCTGATGGGGTTTCACATAGGACAAGCTGGTCCAAGTTAACACCCCACATTTCAAAGGTTGTTTGCAGGGCTGGCTGGGCTAGAGGAGCTCAGCAGAAAGGACAGGGATACTGGGTGAACAGAAACAGAAACGCAGCAGGGCTTTGCTCAAAGGATGGTCCTATCCTGGCAGGCTTGCTGGAGCCCTCTGAGCCAGCCCAGTTAGAAGCCTTGCAAAGGCCTGCTCCAGGTCTGCTCTTCCCATGCCGAAGAGGAGGTCACCAGGAGTTCACTGTGGAGACATGGCTGGGGGAGAGGGGAAGGCACTTGGGAAGGGATTTGCATGTGAAAGGCCCCTCTGAGCCCTATTGTTGTTCAGTCAGCCCAAATCTGCATGTTTGCACAGCTCAAGCCCCTGCCTGCCACTGTTGGGACTCCTGCTTTGCAGCCCTTCCCGGTGCAAAGCTCCCAATGCCTTTGCCTCTCCATGCTCCTCTCTGGCATCACCGTGGAAGTGCACAAGCTACCTTCTGGGCTGTGTTCCCCACTCTGTCATGAACTAACTGGGTGGCTTTGGGCAAAGCACAGATATAATCACATACCTCAGCCTTCCTGCCAGGACTACTGCAGAGGCTGAGGTCAGCCACGTGCAAACAGATTGGAGGTGCTGGAGAAGGGTTTCCTCTCCCAGACAATGAGCAGAACCTCTCCCATCCTTATCTTTCCATACTGTGAGCCTTGGGGGCACTGACACTCACTCCCAACTCCCTTTAGGAAGCATTTCTTCTGGTTGAGTGGTATCACCACCGTGATCAGTACCTTGATGTCCTTCATCAAACCAGCTTTCAATGCCTATGTGCTCAACTGCATCGCCTTCCACCTGCTGTACCTGACATGGCGTGAGCTGAAAAAGTAAGGAGGGGGCTGAAAGGGGTTATCTGCAGGACCATTGCATGCTCTTGGCAGGCTCACATGTGGCAGTGACTCTGTGCACAACAGTGAATTGAGCCTAAGTCTTCATCAGCCACATGTTAGACTATCAATCAGCTCTGCAAAGAATTGGGGCAGCCTGGGAGGGACCAGGAAGAGGCACAGGAAGGACTGTGGGTGGTTGGATACAAGAAGGCCATCTGGCCCAGGTGCCACACAGAATGGGGACAGGCCATGGGACAAGTGTATCTCCTCCTCCCCAGCTGCCAACTCTGCAGCTCTTTCCCCTTTGTGGGGGATTTGGGAACCAGTGTGGGGTTGGGAGAACCCACCAGGATTTGGGGAGAAAGATAAGAGTGCCTTGGCATCTCTAGCATCATCCTCACCTACAGAAAGTCACAAACCCTGTCTAGAGAGCCACACTTCTCCAGTTCTTGTGCTCTGATTAATACCCTCCAGAAGAGACTCGCTGGGTTTTGCCCTGTTGCATCAGCATTTGCAGACAGGACACCAGCCCTCTTTAAAACTCACTTTCATTCCAACACGATACTCCGCTTCCTCTCCCTCGCTGTGTCTTCCAGGTGCAATGACAAAAGGGTTCACCGGATGGCCGCAGTCATGGTCTTGTGGTGGGTACTGGCCATCAGCAGCTGGATAAGCGACAGGTGGCTTTGTGGGCTCTGGCAGGCGATCAACTTCCCCTACTTCCACAGCTTCTGGTAAGGGCTCCAGCATAGAGGCAGGAACCCCAACCCAAACATTTCAGGGGCTGAAGGGCCACAGCTAGGGAGAAATGGCAGCAGAGGTGTGATACTGGACTAGGGAGCAGCCGCATCTCTGCCCAACCCTCTCCCCCTTTCCTCTGTTGCTATTGATGCTGCTCTTCACCCTGGCCCCAGGTCAAGGATTTGGTCCTAATCACTGCTTAATATCCCTTACCTCCTCTGCACCAGTCAAACAGTGTTTTGCAAGTGAAATTGTTCTAAAAGTCCCTCCAGGTAAGCAGCTTGCTTTCAAAGGGCTGCATCTGCTCCCAGGAAGCTGTATGAAGTGCAATGTTCTTTGAGTTATTTTACTAGCCAAACTGAAAGACAGTGATTTGCTTGGGCAAGATATTTCAGTGCCTGGCCAAGTGTGGCTATAAGTGCTGCACACAGCGTGCATTCTCAGATTAATCCTCACAAATCACTGGCATGACTTGGACAGACACCGAGCGCTGCTGGGCTAGGCCAGGCAAGGTGGAATGGGTGGTTTGGTTTAGGGCTTAAGTTGCCTATATCACCCCATCCTCTCTGCACAAGGAATTGCCCCCGCCCCAGCTCACAGAGCTCTTCTAGGATTTCCGCATAGGCACAAACCCCGCAGGACCCACACTCCCTGCAGCCCTCGTGCATCACAGGACTGGGACCTTTGCCTGCCGTTACTGTACCCCTTGGCTCTAGCCTCACGGTGACAATGCCAGCCACACACCGCTACAAGGTGCAGAAGGAGCAGATGGAGTTACCCCTGTCCAACACATGTCTTTTTCATTTCCTTGCCAGGCACGTGCTGATAGCCATGTCCCTCCTATACTGCTGCCCACTGGTCATCTACTTTGATGTCTGCTACGAGATGCCATTGTTCAAGCCAAAGCTAGAATATTGGCCCAGTGACTCCTGGCCTGTCGTGGTGCCTTACGTTACCCTGGAAGAACCCCACAAGCAGTGCTAGAGCCGGTTGCCCTCGGGCATCCCTTGGGCACGGGGTGCGTGATGCACACGTGTGTGTCTGCATGGGGAACACCTCGGCTGTGCGCCTGTTCCTCGGACAAGGGCAATGTGGCTAGCGGATGGGGCAGGGAGCAGCTGAGGCCTCATGATGCCGGGCATGAAGCAGGGTGGGAACCCGCAGGTGCCCTGGACGACTCTGCCCAGACTGGCGTCCGGGGAACCGAAGATCTCCTCCTCCAGCAGATCCCCACTGAGAAGGGGAGGGAGACTGTGCTTCTTCTGTGTCTTCTGCATTAGTCAAGCAGTGGCACCCCTTGCTGACAAGGGCACAGTGGAGAACACAGAAGCCAAACTGGTGGCAGCTGGGTTTGTTGGGGCTGCTGTAATTATTATTATTAATTTTATTTATTGATATATGTGGTCTTGCTCAGGAGGGCTGTGCATTAAAGCTATGGACACTGACTTGCACTGCCCCTTTCTTTTCCCTGACTGCACCACATCCCTCATTATCTGCCAGTCACTCGCACAGACAGGGTGACCAAAGCTCTCTCTGAGCTAGGGAGAGTGGTTTATAAAAAGAAATCCTCCTGGGTGACAGCCCAAAAGAGGCTCTTCTGGCCCAGGTCCTGGGGTGCTCTACCCCAGGCTCTACCCCTTCTTCAACCCCCAGTAGCCCTTGTTCCTCCCCAGCTCTGACAGTCTCCAATGGCCATGTGCAACTTGGAGACTCCTCTGCTTACTGAAAGGGCTGGCTGGTGGCAGAAAGTGAGGTAAAGAGCCAGTACATTAGATAAACATATCGGTACCTTTGCAAGAACAAAGAGAAGATGTAAAGCCTCAGAGAAAGACCACTGCTGTGCCACGGGTACAAAGTGGTGCTTTCCAGGTTCTCCCCACAGTGTAACAGCAAAGAAATTGCTCTCACAGCCACGGGACACACTCTTGCTCTCCGAGCCTTGCTGTGTTACAGTGACAAGTTGAACCATGTTGTGGGTCTGGGTCCTTGCACAACGAGCGGGGACTGTCTCTGGAAAGCACCAAGAGGCTGGCAGAGTGGCTGAGGTTGGTTCCCTGCAATGCAGACAGAACAAGGTAATGCCACTCCAGGGACCACAGAATTTTTGGGCCCCTGTGAGTAAAGCAAAAGCAGAAGTACTCTGGGCTTAACCTCAGAGGCAGAAGGTGCTGCGCAGCATGCCACGCAGCGCCTATGCCATGGCCCTCCCATGGCCACTGCTGCCTCGTGGGTTCCTCTGCAATGGTCCCCAGAGCCACTAGATGGCAAATTTGGCTCATGAACCCCAAGCAATATTTCATCTCTGGAAAGGGATGCCTTGAGCAAGGACTGAACCCCCAGGACTGGTGCCTCTGCCCTCTCCATCCCTTGGCACCGGGGTCAGACATCTCTCTGCCAGCACAGCCAGCAATAAGACACCTGCACAAGGTGCAGGACAAGGGGGACACAGACCTCCAGCCTTTGTGTGCCCTTGCCTCCCCATGCCGGTGCCCATCTCCTCTGTCTGCCTCTTTGTCTCTCCTGCATGCCATCACTCTTGCCTCTCCCCTCATCACCCCATCTCCCCTTCGCTGACCCTCCCTGTTTTGCTCCCTCTTGCTCTCCCCCTGCCTCACCCCTTCCCCAGCCCATCACATTCTTCTACAGCCTATTAATAACTTCTGGGCAATTGCACCGGGTCCCCGCTGGGCTCGGCCCCTCCGTCGGCGCTGCCCTGCACAGCCACTGAGCGCGCCGGCAGCAAGTTCAAAAGTGCAGCGGGGCTTTCACAGCCCCTCTCCCCGTCAGGGGGTGGAGGAGGCCGCTCGCAAAGAAAGGCCGCGTTGCCAGGGAGCCTGGCACAGGAAAAGGGGGTCACCTTCACCTCCGACAGGACCGCTGGAGATGGACAGGCGCCAGCAGGCCGGAGATGCTTGAGCCACGAAGGGATGGATGGAGGCTGGGACGTGGGCGAGGAGGACTAATTGGCCGTCTTCGGCCACGGAGCTGGTGTGATGCTCGGCAGAGAAACCCAGCGGCAAAATCCCCCGTGCGGTATGGTAATAAGGGAGGTGTCCCAGGCGCCGCTGCCTTGAGAACAATGTTGCTGCAGTTGAGTGACTGTAACAGGCCCTGATGACAGCCAGGGCCGCGTTAAAAATGCCTATTCAAGCAGATCAAGACATTGAGAGGCCTCGTGGGGATCTGAAACCCTCAGGGATTTCTGGATGAAGCCAGAAGCTGAATCCCCAGCCCTGGGAACCTGGGGGGAAAAAAAAAAAAAAAAAAAGAAAGAGAAAAAAGAAAAGAAACCCACAAAGCAGCTTTAAAAGGACTGCAGCGCCCGAGGCAGGGCCTCCTGCTCCAAGCGGGGCTGTAGCCTGAGAAAGCGAAGCAGCCCTGACACCAGTGTGTCCCCAGTTATCTGAGGCTGGGGTCGCACCTCCAAAAGGTCCCTGAGCTGCTGGGGATGCTCTGTCCTTCCTGCCAGGGAGCCACGGCTCCAGCTTGTGGGGCGCAGCCTGCACTGCAGAGCTGACAAACACCCCATAAAAACGAGCGGGGCTGTCAAAGGGATGAGTCAGAGCATTTTTGCCTTGAGCTGAAAGGGATCCTGCAGGGATGACCAGCATGCTGAGCGGGTAAAGCTGGGAGCCCTCAGAGGGTGAAAGGCAACAGTGGCTGCTTCTTGACCCCCCCAGGCCATGGGGAGTTCTGATGGTACCTTCTGCACCAGGACCCTTGGCCATGTGAGTGCCTCTCCGGGTGTAACCAGCCAGCTCACTCAGCAGAGCAACACAGGAAAATAAGCAGGGCAGGAAGAGCTGCAAACCCGTGCACTCGGGGATTTGAGTTAGGACTGGTCAAAATTAAACCTTTCCTTATTTTTGCCAGATGAGCCTTAACCCGGATCATTTCCCTGATTTGGGTCCCCATGTGGCTGCCTAAACCACAAGAAAAGAGGCAAGAGAAGGGAGCAGGAATGAGGAAGAGGATAGAGGCTGCTCCTTTCAACTGGTGCCAGATTAAAGAGGTTGTGAAACAACAGCATCAGTTGAGTCTATTTGGTGCAATTGCAACACAAATGAAATAATAATGTTGATAACGCACCAGTCCTGCAGCATCAAAGATTAACACTTACCTGTTCTGCTGCACCGAATTGTCTCCTGCTGGTACAGATTTACATTGCAGGATTTGGCTCGCAGAGTGGAAACTTTTCAAGGCAGAGTGATTTATCTGTAAAAGACATTGCACATTCATGGACCTGCATAAATAATGCAAAACTAATTAATAATAACCCAGTCCCTGCTCTTAACAATGCCAGGAGAAGAAATTGCTTCACTGGACTGTCTCTTATGCCTTTTGCAAAAGATCTTTATTTGTTAACTGTCTCAAAGAGAAGGAAGATAATAGTTTTGAAACACAGAATGGATGTCGCTAGGTCCTGGGATTTTATTGCCAGCCTGGCAATCTTTACAACTGATTTAAAGAACCCTCTGCTGGAGTCATGTTAAAACAACATTGATTCAGCTTTGTTTTTTTTTTTTTTTAGTTTTAATCTCCAAAGTCTGCAGTCAAAAGTTTGAAACCATGAATACAAAGGGCTAAGGAACCCAGGAAAGAAAGAGATAAGCTCAAGAATTATGACCTCTCAAAGTTTTGTCCTTTCAACTCTAAGTGCTACTTTTGAGATTTGACACAGGATTTCTAACTCAGGGGCTGGCAGTTCTGTTACACCTGCATCACAACTGCTAGGCAAGATGTTTCTTCTTTTTTTAACTGTTCCACCTACATCCTTGCTCTCCGCTTTTCACATAAGACAAAATTAGCCATAGGGACATAAATGAATGCCACAATTTTCCAGATTTTGATGGCTATTCTGGACAGATGAAAGGTATCAGGTCTGGATCTGAAAGTCATATTTCAGCAAATATTCTGTCACCGTGTTTGCAGCAGTCAGGATCTTGAGGTCCCCTGCCTATGTCTTTCTGTATTAGCTCATGTGGTGGCTGCACATATAATCGGGGCTGGTTTTGACCAGTGACCATAGAGGAAATGTGGGTAAAATTCACTTCTCAGTAAGGAGAAGCACAGCCATTACTTGGCCAAATAAACCAGTTGACGAAAAATTATTTTTAATCACAAGATCAAATGATTTCTTCAGCTGTTTCTATAAAACCCCATGATTTGGTTCCACTTAGTAAGACATTCTCACTGCTGTTTTCAGAAGAAAAACAAGCAGTTCACATTTGTCTGACAAAGTGGTTCAAATAACTTCAATTCTCTAGTAATGGCTGCTATCAAAATACCTACAATGGGAGGATTAATTTTTCTGTGCCTTCACATTACAGCTCAAAACATGGTTTCAATTAGGACTGTTCTCTGCTTTCTTTAATTCACTTTCTATGAACATTCAGTGACTTGGGTCCCGATTCATGAGCTCACTTAAGCACATGGGTTTTTATAAATGTGTTTAAGCATAAAACTGAATCAGGTTGTTCTGAAATGGCACGCTTAGTTTCACCATTACAAATATTTAACAAAAGGCAAAGATTTATCTCAAATGCTGAAGTAGTCACCAAAAGCAACATTCAATTGTGCATTGGGTTATAAAATTCACAACCTGCAATTGATGCTGCATTTATTTAGATAGTCCTTCCATAAGAGACCAGCTGTCTCAGTTCACTAAAATGCTTAAGCATATGTTTAATTTTAAGAATATGAATAATTCCATTGATATCAATGGCACTTGCTTACACTTAAGAATATATTTTACTGGGCTGGAGCCAGAAATAGTGCCATGTAATGCCAATAAAGTGCAAACTGCAATATTTCTCTAAGTGCTTTCTGGGACCAATTTAAAAATTAATCAATGAAGAACTGTAATGTGAAAATGCAAAAATTAATATATGTGAGATTTTGCTGTTTACTATCCTAATATTGCCAAGTATTAACATCCACCAGAGTACTGCCAAGTGAAATCAAAACCAAATCTGTGAAACAGA